TGTCCACTCCGCAAACGATTCCCGCTACAGCTCAGATGCAACTCCACGGCTGCCAAGCAGTCCGACGCGGACCCGAATGCGCAATCTTCGCGGTTAGATCCCACGGCGGACGACTATTCCCTCACGCCTTTTGCCGACCGATGCATCCTCACGGTTGAAGCTGGTGGCGGCGGCCACGGCTGCGTCTCGTTCTTGCGGGAAAAATACATTGAAGAGGGGCCTGCCAATGGCGGCGATGGTGGCAGTGGAGGAAATGTCTATATCCAAGCAGTCCGCGGCGAAACGTCGTTACATAAGCTTGCGAGACGGCGACAGATCAAGGCGGGCAGAGGGCGCAATGGACAGGGCAAGGTCAAAGGTGGCGAGCGGGGCACCGACGTCCTGATCACGGTGCCTGTGGGGACTATCGTGCGCGAGCTACAAAGACATGACCCGGTGGCGATAATGGAGGAGGAGCACTGGAAAATGGAGCAGGATGAAGAAATGGAGGAGTTGGAGGAGGGACAACCCAGCTACAGGAGAGATCGATGGCTGGTTTACCCCGGCACTATACCCTCAGAGCTGAGCAGGATCAAGTTTCCCAAGCTCCCTCCACCGCGAAGATCGCATCTCGCAGCCCTCGAGCCGGAAGCGCCCATGTGGCTGGACTTGGACAAGCACATGGAGACGCCTATGCTGATTGCAGCCGGAGCGATGGGCGGCCTGGGCAACCCACACTTTATGACGCCGTTCAACAACAGGCCGAAGATGGCTACGCGCGGAGACGAAGGCCTGAAGATATCACTACAACTAGAATTGAAGATTCTTGCGGACCTGGGACTGGTCGGGCTGCCCAACGCTGGTAAGAGTACGCTCCTCCGGGCCCTGAGCAACAGCCGTGCGCGAGTCGGCAACTGGGCCTTTACAACACTCCAACCAAACGTCGGCACCGTCGTTCTGGATGACCACAAGGGGCGGCCACTCGTCAGGTCACGCAGACCAAATGGAGAGCTGCGAGAGAACTTTACCATTGCCGATGTGCCGGGCCTGATCGAAGATGCGCATCTAGACAAAGGGCTCGGATTAGGCTTCCTGCGACACATTGAGCGCGCCGCAGTCCTCGCCTTCGTCATCGACCTCTCCGCCGGTGATGCTGTCGCAGCGCTCAAGCTGCTCTGGCGCGAAGTATCCGAGTACGAGACGCTGCGCGGAAAGGAACTCAACGCCGAGACAGAGCGCAGAATGGTCACATACACGCCCGCTGGTAAAGCACCACCAAGCGACGCATCCGACCTCCTCGACTCGCCGCATCTGGATCCTTCGCCGAAGCCTCTTCCCTTCCTGAGCACAACCCCGATCTCGTCGAAGCCGTGGTTCGTTGTTGCGACAAAGGCCGACTTGCCGGATACGCAGGCCAACTTTGAGGCTCTTCGTGCGTATCTGGAGGAGGTGAGCAAGGGCGCGCAACCCCATCCTAGCAACCGCAAGCATGCGTGGCGGCGCAACGTGCAGACTGTGCCGATTAGTGCGATACTTGGTGAGGGTGTACAGGTCATTCCGCAGTTGGTGATGGACTTGTTGGAGGAGTAGATGTGTGTAGCAATGATACCCTTGTCTCCTCTCGGAATATCTCAATGTTGTTTGGAATGTGAGCGCTTCATCTTGGGGACAGGCCCAATGAATTTTCGCGGTATTGTTTCCAATCGGCCACTTGCCCTACACATACATACTGATATGCCAAAAAGAATCCGTTCTCTGAGTCGCGTTGCACAGAAAGGGTTACTTGAAAATATACATCTCGTCACGAGGCTGTTATTGCAGAGCATCACATTTAACTGCGGGTTATACGTTAGCGCTCATCATTATTTCTGGCATGCGCATTGCGTCCTAAGTACATGTGCAGTTGACTTGGAATTTGGAAGGCGCGACCGTGACGACCATGTTGAAGCGCTACTTCCTAATGCGCAGTTCCGCGAAGCGCAAGTGGGGTGGAGGGGTAAACATCACAGTCAATACCACTTGCCTGGCTTTCTCACACACTTGTATCCTCTCTCCGTCATACTGTCGCATCACTGCGCGCCTCGAAACTAACTTTCATCTCATTTCAAGACAGCAGATTGCTTTCCATGCATGTCGTGCACTGAGAGACTTCAGATGCAATTCCCTAAGTACTTCCAAATCATGCAGAGAGCTGACAACCAAGGTCGACAACTAGGGAAGGACATCGCGAACAGCACCAGCGAATCCGGCGATATCGAAGATCGCTGGAAGCATATCCGACAGGTCCAACTGTAACGCGCTGAATTCAAGTGCTGATCTTACCAGCAAGACAACTACGCAGCTGACAAGTGCATCCGAATAAGAACAAGTCGTTGCTGCCAGCTGTATACATAAATCTGCATACATTGCTTTGGCAGAAGAAAGAGATGGTGAATGATTTTGGGTGTCCCATGGGCTATCATGACGAATGGTCGCAATAGCAGATATGGCTGTCACAGCGGGCGAAGCCCGCCTATGATAGCCATTATGCAGCTCAGGACACGCACAGGTCACCCGATGCCATCTCAGTGCTTTGGTGGTTCGAGCGTGGTCCACTTCCAAGTTTTGTTGTTTCCGACCGCCACCGGCCCAGATCCAGCTTTTCGCGCGCCCCAGGGCGCAACGTCAAACGCTTCAGTATATGTATGGATCCATTTCCCTAACCTTCGCCTTCGGGCATTTGGTCAATTTGAAACGATACAGAGAAGATTAGCATGGCCCCTGCACTAAGGATGACACGCTCAATCAAAGAGAAGCTACCATTTTTTTGCTCTTCGATCTGACTCCTCCGCCAAATCGGTGCGTGGAGGCCCGGGTTCGAGTCGAGCCCTGCTCTTCTTTTTGCACTCTTTTTGCTGCGCAAGGGTCCAGCGACCTTTCTTCCCGCACAATAATGATCAAAACACCATTTCCTCTGCACTTCACATTTTGCTATCTTCGCAAACACAGATATCGCATTGCAAATCTCTTCAAGATATCCTATCTGCTCCGGCGCCAGATCCAGAGCAAAAAAACGGCAGCTTCTCTTTGATTGAGCGTGTCATCCTTAGTGCAGGGGCCATGCTAATCTTCTCTGGGGGGGCGCCGCTGCGCGGCAGGCTGGCAGAGGCGGCGGGCTCGCTGACGCTCGCCAGCCACCTCGCCCTGTACTCTGACTGTGTCGACTCAGCGTTGTCGCAGACCACGCCCTGGCAGCTACCATCCTAGTATTACCGCCTTTTGGGTTGTCGCGGCGCTGATGTAGGCGTCTGGATGAATCTTTTTGCGACAAGACATGCGAATAGAACCTTGGAAACCGGGCACTCAGTGCAGGCTCGCGGGCATAGCGCGTTCGTTGCAACCACTTTGCGCGCCTCTTCAGCGATATAGCGAAGTCACACTATCATGTTATCAGTGTCGAGTTGAAGGCCCTCTTTTTCGGAAGCACCCATAAAGGAACACAATCCATGAAAAGGTTAAACGCCTCACACATCACGTTTCTTGAGAGACGCCGCAGCGCTCAACGGGCTCGCACAGGATTTGGATTGCTCCCATCCCCGTACCAGCGGCAGTCAATATCGCAACACCTCTCTCGAGGTCTCGTTAATGCGGATTACCGAATCTGGCGTCAAAGCACGCTTGGAGTCAAACCTGGGATGCTTTCTATGCTGTTGTTCGCATAGCCCTGGCAACTACATACGTTGCAATCCTTCCTTTCAGGTATACACAGCGTCGATGTAGTCGCCCGGCGTAGATTTCGTTTGCGACGATACCTACCTATAAACGTTCTCGTACGTTTTCTCTCTTAGCTCTTGTAGGATCTAGATTGCTCATGTCTCTTGTCGGCGGCATCTCAAAGATACTGGCCCAGTTCCATGCATATCAGCCAAACGCCTCGAAAGTGTTTCTCACGGCCTAGTCCTGGGTACGGAGCCCCTGCCACTTCACTCCAGCATCCAGTGATTGGCGAGTGTAGCCACATCGTGGCCGGCCGCTACGCTTGTTGGCGGAATACCAGTGACGGGGCCGCAGTTCTTCGGTATCTAAGCCGTCAAGCCAGTCGACGAGCCGGTTGAGTCGTGCGATAGCTTCTCGGCTTTCCTATCCACCGCCAGCCAGGATCTTCCTCCCAATTTCTCGCCGTTTTGAATGCCACTGACTCTGGTGTCTAAACACTTTTGCCGCATACATCGCATGCGGATTTCTCGTTCTAGTAGGTATCAATGAGTCCTGGAACACTTCATACACTTCTGGGGATCTCCCTGACGCCCTGAAGATCCATGAGAACCTCCAGGCCCAGCCGTTACACACCTAGATACTCTCATATCGCTCTGCATTAACCCGATTCTGCCGCATACATAGCCTTGGAAATTTTTGATCTAATAGGTCTCGAGAGGCCCGGGAGCACTTCAAAGACTTCTGAGAATTTCCCTGACACCCCAGGAAACCGCGAGGCCCTCCAGGCTTAGCTGTTATATACCTAGGTAAGCTCGAATTGCTTTTCAAGAAACCGGTTTTGCCGCATACATCGCATGAGAAAGTTTCGTTCTTACGGGTAAAATAGAAGCTGAGAGCACTTCACCGTGTTCTGGAGATTTCTCTGACGACTTGGCAGCCATCGACATGCCCCGACATGTAGTACAGCACGAGGAGGCTTGCACTATGGTGCTAGAGCTCGCTGCCGCATTTGAGGCTTCAGAACAAGTCTGTGTTGACCAAATGGCCAAGACGGAGGCCGTTCAGGCCAAGTGCACCAGGTATGCACAGCTCCTTCGCGTTACGCTCTCACAGAACGTCAAGCTACGCTCTCGTGTGACTAGGATGAGCGCCTTCTTGAGTCAGTTCGTCGCCCTTTCTATGACCCTCGAACACAGCCTTGGCCCCAAAGAAGCACGCTACCGTTCTCTTTTCAACGCTTTCTCGATACTCGGATCCTCTTGGTGATGCGCATGAAAAAGGCATCTGCTCGCATCCGAAGCCTGGACGCTGTCGTCAATATCAAAATGACTACCTTCAACAAGCTGCAAGCCGAGCACACAGCCACATCGTCATCTTATGACAATGCTATCAGGACAGCCGATGAACTTGTGAAGGCCAACAAGAAAAAGCTCGACGCAGCCGCGGCGCTCCACGACAAGTATGTCGCAGCCAACGACCTCGCGAATGTCTACCACGAGAAGTTTATCACAGAACAGACGTCGAGGACCACCGACAAGCAGATTGCGGATACCAGATACATGGAATTAGAGCAGTCGAAGGACGCAGCCAACGAGCTTGCGGAGGTCAACTACACCAAATACAGGGCCGCATACGACAAACTCCGCAAGAGCAATGCAACTGTCTCTACGTCCGTGAACGAAGCCAACAACACTACGGTGAAAACCAAATTGACCCTTGCTAGCTTCGTCAATGGGATGTACACGAATATCCTGTTTCCCAACTGCAAAGAACACGATTCACTCGGGGCATCGTTCGAGGCTTACTATGAGCGTGCATCGCGTGAGGAAGCGGATGCGTTTACTCTTACTCAATGGCAACGCCTGATAGACTTTGTTTGTGCGATGACCAGGGACCGAAAAGACTGCATTGTGGGTTTCAATGCATACGTCGAGTCCAACAGTCGCCTAAAGGACCACATCGTGGCTATGTGTTCGAAAGCCTACGTACACATGCATACATCGCAAAACTATCGCACAACAAAACCAGACTCCATTTTCGCGGGCCTACCGCCCATCGTGGGTATCATATCTGAACTGAACGGACGCATGAAAGCAAACCCTGGGTATACACCCGATCTCACTACCATTTCCATACCCCATTTGCCTACTTCTCCACCTTCGCGACCTTCTTCTCTCTCTTCACCTTCTTCTCTTTCTTCTCTTTCTTCAAGTTCGGATCAAGCCCGCATTCCAGAAGGGAAGCCAGAATAGGTCCCTTGCACTGTTCCCTCGCCACGCCAACCTTGCGCTCCAGCTCAGCGCGCAGCAGCGTCATGGAATTATCCTGCAGCTCAGGAGTGCAGAGTTGCTTGTACGACGCCTTGATCTCTGCTATGTGAAATGCGATAGCTTGTCTGCCAATCTCCAACAACGCTATCTTCTTGGCTTTCCACGCGGCTTCAAACTTGTCGACCATTTGGTCGTAGGGACTGTTATCTCCGCATATGCGCGCTTCCAGTGTCTGCATCTGCACCTCTTTCATGGTCAACTTGCCTGTCGGTTTTGCCTTTAATGTGGCAGTGTAGACCGGTTTCATTTTTTGGGGAAAGAAGTCACCGTTGCCGTCTTCAGTAAGACGTCCTCGGAACAGCCGAAGGAATATCATGAGGTCTTTGCCGACAACATCATACATGTTGTAGAGTTGCGGTTTCTTGTCGTCAAGGTTCGCTACGAAATTCTTGCTGTCGAGCTGTTCGGCGGCAACGTGAAGGGCTTCCAGGAAGTCGTCCACGACTCCTTCTAGCTGGTATGCAAGGCTACCCAGCCTGGAGGGTGCTTCTGCGATTAGCTCCTTGAACAGCGGGTCGAGCGTCTTCTGGACAGCACGCAGAAGCGTAATGTTCCAACTGCAATTCGGCTGTCCCTTTGTCCGGTGGTTGCCTAGCTTGTTCAAGTAGCACCGTACGGCGTTGCCATGCAACCTTCGCCAAACATTGTTGATGTTATGGTGACCTTCGTTCTTCCAATCGCCGACTCCGTTTCTCATGCTCTCAATCCTCGGAAGGATGAGTTCATTTTCGAAAACATCGAGGAAGACTTCGAGCGGCTTCAACAATTTGGATGCGAATTCTTCAAAGTTGAACCTGGGCCCTGTCTGCACCGGCCCGGAAGTCGTGCTGCAAGCGAGCTCGATATAGCTGAAGAGCTCGGGTAGTGTTCGCCTGTAAAAGCGAAGAAGATCTTTCTGCAGCCGTTCATTGGCGATAGCGGCGAGTTCCCTGCATAGACTGGGGATCTGGGTGGACTCAACGGACAGCGGCAGATGCTCGTCGGTGTACTGGTGGTAGCCCTCGACATGCTCCATGTAGTCTTTTGCCGAAGTCGTCATAACTGTCAAATTTCCGTTCTGCTTTGCGAATCTTTCCCTCAGCCTGTCGCTGATGCGACGACCTCGTTCTCGGGCACATATTTCGTTCTCTTCGAGGGTCATGAAAGCGATCTCGCGGGCGCAGTGGTCTCTTTGCGCATAGTCTGTTGGCGCGTAGCTGTCCTTCTTTCTCCGAGTTTCTGCTTTACGTTCGGCTAGCCAGTCGAGATCAGCTTTCTCATGTTGGTCGAATGATGCATCTTTGCGATCCGATGGGTTCAGATTGGACTCTCCCATTGTCAAGGCGATGATGATGCGTTGATCGGGTCTCCTTGTAGTACGGTCATTAATTAAGTGGTCAAGAAACGCGCTATCGCCAGCTCTCGTGATTTCTTCAGCGACTATGACTACTTTGCAGTCCTGAAGATATCGGTTCGCTTTTGTTTCACGGTCCTATCAACACACGGTTAGCTTGAGCGATGTCAACCTGGGAAGGGCACAAGCTTGCCTTGTTGATGTCCTGTAGTCCGGGGCAGTCGCCGATTGAGTAGCGAATCCGAAAGTCACCAAAGACCTCAATCCTCTCTACGAGCGCAGAGGGGTTGAAGCCAAGTTTGGTGTCGTCCATCTTGGCTTGATCGTCGCTGAATTGCGCGAGCTCTCTCCGCAGCTCCGTCACGTTGGTAGCGTAGATACCCTGTGCGGACATGTTGGCGATCTTCTGGCGCCGGTCCTCAGCCCACTTGACGCATTGGCCAAACGCATCCTTTTGCTTCGCTACTGATGAGAATTTGTGCGAATTGACATCATATCCTAGGAATGTCCAAGTAGATTCGTTCGATGCGAATTCTGGAATGTCGCTGAACAGATTCTGAAGCGCACGTAGACTGTCTTGGCCTTGATCGTCAAGCTCTATGGGCCCTTCCACGCATCTTTTTAGGTTCGCTACAAGATTGGCAAGATGCTGTTGTACTGAATCTCGACAGTCGATCTTGCCGGAAAGCTCCAGTCTCACCTCGTAGGGTGTTTGTATGTGCGCTCGACGTGGTGAATATACAATTGGAATGCGGGTTGTTGCCACGCCGCTTGCCCCCTAGAAAAGTTAGATGACGTGATGCTTTGGGGAGGTCGTGCTTACCGATCTTGCAATCCCATCGATGCCCAAGATAGCATCTATCAATTTCGACTTCCCCTGCCCAGTCTTGCCGACGACTGCCACACGCTCGGGTTCGCTTTGGTACTCGTCCATCACCTCGTTGAGTTTGGGTCTGAGACTTGCGGCTAGTTGCGGGTCCTTGTCTGGCTTAACAGCTAGGATGAAGTCTTGTGGAATCTCCAGGCAAGCCCTCTCGGCTTTCATAAATTCATCATCGTAGGCGAGTAGATCGGGCAACGTTTCCGTTGCTGGATCGTGACGAACAAAGTCCTTCGTATTACCCTTAAGATATTCTTGATATCCTGCTATTCTCCGTTCTACCCGCCGTTTTGCGGATGGGCGTACTGCCTTTGACTTGGCTGGCTGTGCTTGCTCGGAAGCTGTAGTGGTCAGTGTCTGCACAGTGGCCGGTCTTGGATAGCACCTTAAGATGTGATACTCACCTGGTCTTTTCTTCGGGTTCACCATGTTGGCCCGAGAGGTGCTTGGTTGGAGAACAGACGCCACCATCTCAGATGGTTCAAGGCGTTACGATCGCGACTGTGGAGGTCTACTATTACTGCAACGAGGAGTTAGCAATGTGTGCGGGAGGACAGATGTCGCACGCTCTGCACATGCTATATAGGTAAATATCCGTGCAAGAAAAAGCTTTGGCTGCAGCGGCACATGATGCGATGAGCAAACGCTGTCTGAGACAATACATGTTTATTGCCGTAGATGTTTGACTTGTTGGTCCTATTGCAGATATCGAGCAATGCTTCCATCGTGCATGAACCAGTCTTGTCGTCTCAAATGTCTTGCCGGTCGATTTGTCCCAGACGTTGTCGTGACACCAAGGCCGGAATGCTTGTATGGCACGCTCGTTCGCGCGCACAGCCTCGCGCACGGCTAATGACAGGTGACAGAACTTTAAAACTTCCCGCACGGTTCGGCATGGCAGAGAGGAAAGGGAACATGAGAATACATACCGGAAGCGAGTGTGATTTTAAAAGCAGCAGATTCCTTTGCTGTGCCGCTCGCGATGCTAGGGAAGGAATGATATGTGCGCGCCGATGGTCCGGAGGGGTTGAAAGCGATTTGTCGCTGATAAGACGCGTCGCGCATGCACCCAGGCGGCGTAGTACTTGGCGTGCGTGCAAAGATGGTCGCGATGAAGGAAATGTGGGACGCGCCCGGTGTGTTATAGAATCTGACGTGCGATTGCCGCGAAAAAGAAAGCAACGGTGTGGAGGGGAAACCTGGAAGAGGTGGTCGCAAGGTTCTGCGCGTCGAGATACACGGTCGCACTTTCTAGCTGCAAGCAACACCAGGTACTAGCAGGAGACGAAACGGTACGAAGGCAAGTGCGCTTCTCTACCTTGGGGTTAAGGGGTTTCAAATACTCCACCCTCGGTATCCTCTAATGAAAATGACATCAATTTCTTCGCCGTTAGACGATGGCAACACAGCGCGAACCCCCAGCGCGTTCTCCCGGCCGTGCGCTAAACCCTGGTCTCAAACTCAATGCGATCAACATGCCGCGTGCAGATGGCAGTGAAGACACCCGTTCAGCGGTCGTCCAGGTGAATATCCCAATGGCCCGATTCTAGAGGAAGTGAGATTGGATCACCTAGGCAACATCCCACGCCATGTTGCAATGGGTGAGTTCGAGATTGCCGGCCAATACTTGTATCCTGTCCGCTAGTGAAGCCCCGAAAGTTTCTTCAATGTCGAATGTGACAGCTTCTTATCGAACTCGAACCGTTTGCCTAGCAACCGTTGAGTGCATCCTCTCGTGAAGACGCTTGGAGTGAGTGAAAGCGTCGCGACCAGCAGCATGCATCGACGTTGCTGCCGCTGCTGCAAAGAGCTCGGGCCAAGGAACGCGAGCGGAGCTTCGGTCGGCCCGGGCATAGCGCGCTTTGTGGTATCATTTCCAGAAACTTCTGCCTCGAGCTCCCCTCTACATAATTCGCATGAACACCTCGACTCCTTCAACATTCTGCACCTGCGCCTTGATTCGTCGCTTGTAGAGACCCGTTCCAGGTTGAGCGCTACAATTTGTAAGTATTCACCACCCTTTACCAATCCTAGAATGATGAGACACAAGCTGGCACCAGTCTGAGAAGACTTGTACTCTTTATATGCGGATCAGCTGCTTAGACTTACGAGTCGCCCTCTGACAATCTCCCACTACACGTGTTTTTCTACATGGTATGAGAGGCCGAAGCTAACAAATTCCTGACAGAGTTTGAATCGAGATCGAGCGCGCCGCCGAATATCACCATGGTACTCCACAACCCGAACAACTGGCATTGGGTCAATAAGGATGTGTCAGGATGGACGCGCGAGTACCTTGACAAGGAGCTCACGCAAATATCGGCGGAGCAGGATGGCGTCACAGCCAAGATCGACAAGGTCGTTAGCATGGATGGAGACGTAGACGTGAGCCAACGCAAAGGCAAAGTGATCACCATCTTCGACGTGAAGCTGAAGCTCGAATACTCAGGTACGTCCTTTCCCAGCTGCCTTTCTTGGTCGCGCTGACTCGGTCGGCAGGCAAGAACAAAGAGGGCGAAGAGGCTAGCGGCACCAT